CTGCTCATATGGATAGGTCATCTGCTAACCTTGCTGTGATATAACTGCTCATATGGATAGGTCATCTGCTAACCTTGCTGTGATGTAACTGCTCATATGGATAGGTCATCTACTAACCTTGCTGTGATATAACTGCTCATATGGATAGGTCAGGTAATAATCAATCCTTTCCCTGCTCATGAAACTAGTTCTCCAGAAATACATGTGCCTATCTAGGGTGTTTTCACTCTCTTCTACGGGTCTGCCTGTCTAATCCTACACCTATTCTTAACCCACACTGTGTTCTCCAACACCTCTACTACAGTCATTCCTTTCATCCATTACATCATTATGATCACACTCTGGATGGCAGGAAGTTGCATAAACAACCTAATATTTTAAATATATTAGCACCAAGCAACAGAAAGATAGTTAATTTATCCCAAAATTTAATATGCTGTCTACTAAAAGCTATTTGATTTAGAAACAACATTGCAAATTAGTCTTATAAGTCACTTTGGTTGTTATAACAAAGTATCTGCTTCTAAGTGCTTTTAAAGAAAAGGAGCTATCTGTAACAAAGCTTTGAAGGCTGAAAGTCCAAGCTTGGGCTATCATATTTGTTAGGCTCTGGTGAGGACCTTTATCATGAATGACATCACAATGGTGAGACAGGAAGCCAGAGAGATTCGGGGCCCAGGTTTACTTTTTATAATAACCTGTTGTCTTAGTCACTGTTCTATATCTGTGAAGAGACACCATGACCATGGCAACTCTTATAAAAGAAAGCATTTAGTTGGAGGCTTCCTTACAGTTTCATGGAGGAATGCATAACAACAGGCATGACAGGCATGGTTCTGGAGAAGTAGTTGAGAGCTATATCCCGATCCACAGGCAGAGGAGAAAGAGAGTGAGGGAATTGGTCCTGGCTTAGGCTTTTGAAACCTCAAAGCCAACCCCCAATGACATACTTCCTCCAACAAGGCCACCACACCTACTCCAATAAGGGCACACCTCCTCATCCTTCTAATCCTTTCCAACAGTGTCATTCCCTGGTGATTAAGCAGTCAAATAACTGAGGGCCATTCTCATTCAAATCACCAAATCTGCTCTTATGGAAATTAACCTCTGTTCTGGAAGGAGTAGATTAACCCCTCTGAGTTACCCTAGTGAATCCCCATCATGTCATACCTACCTTTGTGTTACTGAAGAAGACTGAGGATTTTGTAAACCACAGCACCAAGGTTCAGAGAAGTAGCATAGGAAGTATGTTTGGGGTTTTATTCTGATATAACTGTTGAAGTGAAACCAGTAAGAAGATGCCAACTTTATGGCTCCCCATGTCTTCAGTGCAGTATTTGGACCTTTATGACATCAACCAGGGAAAGAGTCTCCAATTAGGAATCCAGAACCCAATAATAATAATTGGCCATAACTTTATAGGAAAAGAAAATTCCTCTTTTCTTCTGGAGAAATCTTAATGTCTTATTGATTTGACTGACTTGGAAAAATGCAGATAAATGTGAAGACATTCTGCACTGGATAAAAATATTGACCTTTGCCCCCTGGAAAGCAAGCCAGAAGCTAAAGCAAGGATGCAACTTGCTCAAATGGATCTCAGTTCCTCCAAATCTGCCTTACTCATTCTCAGTAACAACAACACCTAAATAAATAAACGCTAAACTGCACCAGCCACAGGCCAGGGCCTCATCACTGAAGAGTAGTCAAGCCTTATAGATCCCACACCTAAACTTCCGGGGGTTGCCTGAATCTTTCCATCCTCTCCCACTGACACATATCCTGACAGACACTCTGAAGGATCTTTGGAGCCAAGAGACAAGTCTAGTAATACCCTCACTTCAAACTGGAAATTACTTTCCATTCTCCTGAGGACACGATTCACACTGCCTAATATGACTTACATAGACTTTCACAGCCACTGTCTTGAGTTGTAAGCCCAGGCAACAGATTCAGCCTTCTGGAACTTCAAATTTCTACATACTACTTACTAGCTTTAAAGTGTCAAGAAACCTTTTCCCAGTACTGGGAATGGAATCCAAGGACTTTGCATGCTGGGTAAGTGCTGTACCACTGAGGTATACCTGCAGACACTTTACCAAGCTTCTGAATCATCATTCTTTAGTTACACAGAGACGGCAAGAATATACCTGTGGGGGTGGGGGATTGAATGAGTAAGGCATATAAGGAACCTGGTGTAGCACCTGGTATACTGCAAGTATTCTGTGTCAACTAAGGTTTTTATTTTGGTTCCAGTTTGTAGGCCTTCACATCCCCTTTCCCTCCAGCTGGAGCACTGTCCCTGATCATGCCAGGGAAATCTCTGGAGATAATCAACAGAAGCAGCAGCAGCAGCACCAGGAACCCTGTTAAAAAAGAAAAATTCTCATGCCCTAGCCAACATCCCCTGTACCAGAACACCTCAGGGACGGTCCAGAAACGGGGAGCTACTGCAGCTATTCTGGTAGAGCCAAGCTCCAAGCATACATGCTGACCCTCATGAGTTGTCCTTGGATGTTTGTCTGTCCCTATCCTCTGCTCGGCAATAAGTTCCCCAATTGCAGAGATGCGACTATCTAGCCCATTTAATCTACAGTAGTAACATCTTGTGGGTGATGAAATAGCATTCTGTGGACTGGATGATTTAACTGCGTGCTTCTTCACTGCATGCTTGAGTAAATTTACACTTGACGTTGGGAGAGAGGTGGCCTCTGAAGGCAGAGGGCAAAGGTAAGTTGTGAATGACCTTCCAAGAGACCTTACAAGTCCTGGAGCACCACCCTGAGGACTGTAATGCTCTGCATACTCTTCATTGTGAAATTTCTCAGCTTCGTTATCTTTGAAAGTACTGACGGTGGAGGAACAGTGCGCCCAGGAAACAAGATCTGAGGTTCAAGAAGGGTCTAAGCTCATCATGTGGGCTGCCAACCAGACTCTGTTCTTCTAATGGACCCGCTCTTCCGGTCTTCTGCTCTTCCTTCCTCTTTCTTCTGTCCCCTCCTCCTCCTCTCCCTCCCCCTTCTGCTTTCATCTCTCCACCTCTCTTCCTTCCTCTCTTTCCTCCTCCTCTCCTACTCTTCTATCTTCCTGTCTTTGTCCTCCTCCTCCCCTTTTCCCTCCTCAGCCCTTCTTCCTTCCTCATGCCCTCCGGTCGCCCTCCTCCCTTGCCTTCTCCTCTCCACATCATTCTCCCTCTCCTCCCTCTCTCTCTCTCTCTCTCTCTCTCTCTCTCTCTCTCTCTCTCTCTCTCTCTCTCTCTCTCTCTCTCTCTCTCTCCCCCCCCCCATCCCTGCCCCTTGACTGCTCTAATCCATTTGTTCTGAACTCCCCACACCTCTTCCTACCTGTTCAGGACCCTCCTCCAGCCCAGTCACCTCTGGTTCCAGCAGAGAGTACGGGGCAGGGCAGGGGAGGGCTTAGGACGCTCCATCATCTAGGAGGACCCCGCAGAACGCGCCCCTGCAGCGCGTCCTTAGGCTGAGGGGTCGCGCACCGCGTTACGCAGCCACAGCCAGACCGCTAGCCCCGCCACTGCCATCTCAGCTCCCACGCGGACTCTGCCACACGCTCCCCGCGGGGAACCGGCGCGCGGACGATCATGGCGGGGTGCAGAGCGGCGGCCGTACTGGAGGCAACCCTGCAGCTCGAGCGGGTACCAGCGAGCGGGTACCGGCGAGGTGTGGGCCAGGGACCCCGCTAGGGTCCTGAGGATGTGGCCCTGCAAGCGCTAGTCAAGGTCTGGTGTCCAAGACTCCGCCTACATGGGTGTAAGCCGGCCCCCAATGGCGGCAGGGTCTCGGGACCTTCTGGAAAATGTTCCCTTACTCTTTCCTCCTTTTTTCCTGGCTTTCTTACGTCTTTCTATCCTCTCTCCCGGGCTGTTCCCGATCGGTTCCCACCAACTCCCACTGGCTCAGGGTAAAGGCCCTGATACTGAAGGAGAATAGAGCCATTGTACTTCCAACTTCTCCTTCGGCCTTGAGGGAATCCATCTAAGTTCTGAATTACTGTATGTCTCCTTAAAGAGGACCTTGCTGGGCTCTGCCACGAAGTTCTGACTCAAACCTACGTAGTGAGGACTAGTTATGAGTTAGCTTGTCTACCTCCAGGGAGTTGATGATGCTGGGATGCTTTGAAGTTCCGCCGGGCTATTTCTTGCCTCCTATTGGTGGGAATTGAAAATTCAGTCTAATTTTTCTGTTTGCTCATGGGACAGTTCTTCTGCTCTGACCCACACTGGAACTATGTGTACAGGCTAGATATTGATACCATCAGAGGCGGGCTTTTCTTCTGGAGCCTGAATCCTTAAAATAAAGACAAAAGTATCCCACAGAGAGTGGAAGACAGCCGCAAAGGACTGCCCCTGATGTAGGGAAGAGAACAGGAGGGGCTAGGGGCGTGGCAGGAGGGTGGTCCTTTGACCTGGTCTTAGAGGACTAAGGCTGCTTTCAATTAGACCTCACAGAGCTGGAGACATAAAGAAAGACTGTAGCAGCTACTGACAAGGCTAGATATGGTAACACCTCACCGCGCTAAACCTCACCCCATTTTCTTTCCCTATATCACCTTTAGCATGTCGGCTTGTGTGTTTGTTTGCCTGAGAATCTCCATTAGCATCAAAGGTTCAGGAGAGCTGGCTCCTGGTAATATTTGATAGCTGCTGGCTTCTTAGTATCCAGAACTGAGTCTAGCAAATGTCGAGCCCTCCATATACACTTGTTAAGTGAATAAGTCACTGACCAAATGAACGATAGTATCAAACAGCATGGTCTAGTACCTCAGCCCCCAGCCCTCCTTCCTAGGCAAACACCAACCACAGGCTCTGTAGTCTAGTGAGCTGGTTTAAACACCTTTTGTACACGTGAGACTTCTCAAATCTCCCAAGTGATTTCAAACAATTTTTAAAAGCAAGAAAGAAACTTGTGCAGAAAGAGGGGTTCATAACTCTTTCTTTCAAGAACTTCAGCTGATGCAACCCAATATTCCTTTGTCTGTTTGGTTTTGTGTTTTTTATGCCCTATGGTATGAGTTTCTTAACATGGACTCAACATGTGCTCAGTAGTTTCTGAGTTCATTGTTCTGACTTTGCCACTTGGAAAGATGTCAGAGTGTATTGACTGTTCAACAGACCTAGAATTTCCTAGCATGTGGGCCTTGGGGGATTATCTCGATTATGTCAACTGATATGAGAAGCCTCATATGAATTATGGGAGGAACCATTCCCTGTGCAGGGGACCCTGGACTGTATAAAGTGGAGAAAACCAACACCTTCTGTTGGTTTCTGGCTGTGGATGTGATGTGACCAGCTGCTTCAAACCCCTGCTGCCTTCTCTTCCCCCACTATGATGGGCTCTGAACTGTGGCTAACAAAACCCTTTCATGTTTAAGTTGCTCTTTAAAAAAAGTAGCATCTCTCCCAACTTGTCGATTGAGTGTGCAGTGTGCCATATAAAGATATTCTATGTAACTGTTTGAAGCATACTTTCTCTGAATGTGCCTTGGAACCTTTTCTATGTCATGATTTATGTGCTTCTAAAGGGATCATACTTAAATTTTGAGGGAGAAGAGATCCCTGGGAATGGGGCAGGCTTTGGACTCTCTTTCTCTATCTTGCCTTCAGGACTTTCGTGGCCATCCCAGCTCAAGGGTGACAAGGCCTTCCTCCCATTGCTCATTCTCTATGTCAGGTTCTGTTTATTTTCTTCATAGTGCTTGCTGGATCGGGCACTTATTTCGATGGCCTCTTTGCAGTCATTCATTTCCTCTGTAATGCAGGACATTTGTCTGCCTTCTTCGAGCAGTGTATGCCATCTCATAACCCAGCACCTAACACAGTCAAGACTTAGTTGCTGAAAGGAGGAATCAATAAATGAGAAGATAGTCAACAGTCATAAGGGGCGGAAAGGAGTGGACATGTGTCTGTGGTAATACTCAGAAGTAGGGTCAGCAAGATGGTAGAATCTAGAATGGGGCTCTGGGTTCTGGCTTTCAGCTGTTAGATAGACGTTAGATAGGTGGGACCTGGGTCTATGGTGCAAAATTGCAGACAGTGCACTAGGTGTCTGAAGGGGAGGGGAGTAGGTAGAGTCCTCACAGAGTCAGGTTGGTTCACCGTAGGAGTAACAGGTGAGTAGAGGTTTGTATGAAGCAGTGAGAAGACACTGAAGCTCACATGTGAGATTTGGCAGGCTACAGAAAAGGTGAGAGGTAGATTCAAACAAGCAATGAAAGAGAGAAAGATGAGATCTGGTGATGGATCCGACAGAAGGAACAGAGATAGGGAGTGGAAACAAATCCCCAGGTAGCATTATTCACGTAGAAGATGTTTCATGGAGACACATACAAAAGGAGAGCCCCTGTCCCAAAATACACTCCCTCCTGGGGGAGGTTTGTGATCTTATTGTGAGCATGCTGGGTGTCTTGGTCATCTGGATGTATTTTTATAAGAGTGCACGTCCTACATAAACGGGGCTGTATTAGGAACAGTTATTCTTGACATTTGCTTTCCTCTCAGTATCTCAGTCTGCGTTATCCTTTTAAAGACCCTACAGACTTCAAAGGAAAGAGAAATGTGGATATTTCCATCTACTTGGTATTTCAAAAGGAGTAACTTTCAGGCTTTGGCAACTTTCTTGTGTAATTTAAGTTTACTGTCATCTACTACACACTGTTATTTGGATGTGAGCCCTCCGGGGCAAATTCTCTAGTATTCTTATATTTTCTGTCCTATGTAAGAGTCTTTAAATTCTTTCAGAGAGTTTCTTATTTTACATCCGGTCTTTCCATTCAGTCGTATGTCTGTCACTTTATCTTACTCTGTTTATGTGTTTATGGCATTCTTGTCATTATGGGTGCAGAATCTTCTGTCCCAAACAGCTTTGAGCTTTAACTGTCCACCTATCCACACACTACAAGTCTTTGGATGCTCTCTTGCAGCAGAGAACACAGGCAGCAGACTTGCTGGTAGCTGACTTGCAGGGTGAACGAGAACTGTCCACAGCTGTAGGTCCTTTCTCCAGGGTTAGATTGCTTCCACAGAATGGAACCTTCTCATCTTCCAGGCATGGTGTGTATCAGGTCACCAACACTTTGAGTCACATGGGCAGGTCTGTGTCCACTAAGCCAAGGCTAATAACACAATAGAAGCCCACATGCCAAGCCCCTAATTACTATAGTCTGTCTATCCACTCCAGATCTATACAGCCTGCTAGGCTTGGAAGCTGGAGAGGCTCTGTTCTTCCTATTGTGCCAACATAAGGGCCTTTGATTGACTCTTAGCTGAACCTGCTGTTATCAATCCCAGGTGTGCTGCTGCCCCAGAAGTCCTCTGGCTCCTCGGTCATACCCAGTCACCACAAGGGTGTTGGCATGGGCAGCTGGCTTTGTGCCTTCCTGTGTTGACCTGCCTCAGTCTCCTGCCTCCACGTCATTTTCCCAGAGTGCATCTGCTTCCCAATCCTGCAACTGTTGCTTGGCTCACCTTCTCCTGTTTGGAGACCCATGCCAGTCTGTCCTTCTGATGTCATCCCAGCCCTGTGTGAGGGAGAGGAGTCATCTACATACATATGACTTGGCATGTTTCACTGGAAATTTTTGTTTTTACTTCATTCTCTTATTTAAAAAAAAACATGGTTATTATTGATGAGTTTGACCATCTTTACACAAATATATTGGCCATTTGTGTTTCTCTTGTGAATCTCTCGTTCACATACTCCATCCTTTGCAATCGTGTACCCTTTTAAAACACACACTTCACAGCTCTTTTCACATCTAGGTTTTTGACTTTCTGCCTGTCAGACTGGCTGTCATTTCCCAGTTTGTCCTTCAGTATAGGCAGCTGTAATAGATTTGATTCTTATGTGCTCAGCATCTGTCAGCTGCTTTGTTCTTATCATCCTTCTAAATGTCTCTTCTAGGCTCTGTGTCATCCTTCTAAATGTCTCATCCACCACAAGATGTATAAAAAATAGTTATTCACATTTTCTTCTAAGGCTTTTAAGAGGTTTATCTTTACATTTAAACATGTGAAACATATGGGGTTTATTGTGAAATACAGAATGACTATAGATGGATCCAACTTACTTTTCTCCCAAGACCTCTCCACTTGCCCAGCACCATTTATTGAACAATTTCCTCTTTTCCCAGAACTGATTCTAAGTGGCTCCTGTATCAGATACACTTCGGCCAACCCCTAGACCTCTCAGTTTCCTCCTATCTTCCGATCTCTAGGCCGGTACAGTTTTCAGGTGGTCTCTAAGGACGTATCATGGATTCCAGAGTCCAGTCCTCCACCTCAGTCTTTTTGTATGCTCATCTTTCCAGATGAATTTCAGTGTCAATATCATTTCCAGAATCTTAGGACCTTGAATAGGTTTACCAAATAATATCTCTGAAAATACAGCCTCAAAAGTAGTCCCTGATGGAATGATAGAAGTTGTATTACTGAGGACTGTAACAATTTTTATAAAGTATTTGCAAGATTATTATTGTTATATCACTATTACCTCTTGTTAGGAAATATTTTAAATCTCATATTACCTAAGGAAGTCACCACTGGTAGTTAACAGAAAATGTCTTAGGTACAATTCTACACCTTCAACTTTTCTAGGCTTCAGAAGAATAATTTTATCACTCTCTTTTTAAAATGTGACAGAAAACATAGGACATATGAAGACAGTTATGCCCAGGACTCTATTACTAGAAAAAGGCAAATAGATTGTTCACCCTATTGATACTCAGTTTCCTATTTGAATCTAATTTTAACATTAAGCACCATTAACCTAAAGATCTCTAACAGCTAAAGAAGGAGAGTCTTGGGGCTTGTTTACAATTTCAATGGGTGAGTCCCTGGCCATCATAGCTGGAAGCATGGTGGCATGTAGCCAGGCCAGGGGAGCAGTAGCTAAGATCTCACTTCTGATCTGTGTGCTACAGGCAGAGAATGATAGACTGGGCCTGGCATAGGCTTTTGAAATCCCAAAGGCCATCCCCAGTTACACAAGGCTACACTTAACTTCACCAAAGTCACACCTCCTAATGTTTCATAAATAGTTTGGCCACCAAACATACTAACATGAGCCTATAGGGACATTCTCATTAAAACCACCACACATAGGTACTGCTATTATTTGAGAGTTCCTATGTTCCTAGAATTTGCCACCTAAGCCCAGCTGCTGTGACCTCCATCGAGGCCCCACCTTGGAAGCCATGGGATGGATAGACATCAGTGTCTACTGCTGCACCAACCACTTCTTGTTTCCTGGCATCATTCAGGAAAGCATTGCACAAGCCTATCTAAGAAACGTGAGAGAGTTACCCAGAGCCTTGCTTCCTCTTCTCCTCATGCCCCTCACAGAAGCACACACTCAGATAGTCTGTTTGAGCTGGAAATCCTCAACTGAACCATATCAGAATTGCTTACACCGTTTGAAGAAAATGTAATCTGGCTGATACTAGATCTGTATAGCTAAGGTTCTGTCTGCCTTCCCTTTGCTGTCTCTGGGGATTTAAGCTTTCGCGAGGTGTCTTTTAACACTGATTAGCCTAGGAAATAAGCTGTTGTAAGGTTATGTTTTCCTATTGATTGGTTAGAAGGCTTTAGTTCATTGAAGGCAGTCTTTGGTGGATCCTATTCTGAGAATGTCTATGCTCAGCAGTTCAACTGCAAGGATCTGGGCTCTGCTTAGTAATGCCTCCTTACCTGGAAGTCAGAGCAATACTCCAAACAAATACAACTGCTAGTCAGCTCTGACTCTAAAGCCTTGAACTTGGAGCTGGTGTTTGCTCATTGGCATCAGCCCAGACACTGTCCACCAGATGGATTTTAGGCATACTGGATTTACAAGCCATATCCCTGGAGCTAAAGGGGCATTGCCCATGGAAGGCCACTCTACAATCTTGACTGATTTGCCAAAACAAAAGTAGAGGAATGGAGACACATCTGGTTTTCTGACCTAAGCAAAGAATCCAATATTTATTAGTAGTGACCCCGATTGCTGGTGTCTTGCTGTGTTTTCTGTTTATTTGTTTGTTTTGTTTTTATTCTGTAAGCAAGTTATTTTATAATTACTTTCATCCTAAATGATTCCAGTGGTAGAGACTGTGACTCTTTTTTTTCTAGTTTGTATTTCTCATGTAATGTTTTAAAATACATGTTGAGAGAATAAAGCGATTTTAGTGTGTCTTTTTATGTTCTCCAGCTCTCTACAGATGATGCATGGAAGTAAGTTATTAGTATTTTTATTACTGTTTTTATTAGCAACAAGATTCTCTTCTTAACAGTTTGAGAGACTGAATGGAGTCATCCTTGTATTTGTAGATGCCCTAAGATAGAGGGGGTAAGATAGCATGTGCGTATGTAATGCTGATACTTTAGACCCAGAGAGTGTGGGGTTTATGTGCCTCCTGCAATGTGATCCATGCAGTACCACCAAGTTAGATTTCTGTCTTCTTAGAAATGTGGCTCGATGAAGTCCCGTTTATTTTAGGCACATGAGACATCTGGTTTTCTTTAAGTGCTGTTTTCTGTGTTTGGGGACCCACAGTGGGGCCATTGGGTACAGTGAGCACCACATGAAAGAAATAAAAATGAAAGCCCCTCCCTTCTTGCATTATGGTAATCAATTATGGATGTATTCCTATTCAAAATAGGAGATACTTATTACACGTATATACTAATTTATGCTCTTCAAAGTACTTCCATATAGGTTAAGCCACTTGAGATGAATTTTCATCACATATATACGGGCGTGTGTGGCAGGATGTTTATGTGCATGTGTGAGCGGGCTCTCTCTCTCTCTCTCTCTCTCACACACACACACACACACACACACACACACACACACAATGGATTGCTATCATGAGGCAGGTGTGGTTTTCTATCTATTGAAATCCCATTTTAGACTGATGATGAATCCACACATCCACCCACATGGACTATGTGGAAAGTCCAGTCATTTCACATAATATTTCATGCTCATTTTGGATTTAGGTCTGTAAAAGATATAAATTCTTAGACTCTGTCATTTCTTTTTCTTTGCTTCTACTTCTTACAGGGAGTGAGTGAGTGTATTTCTTATAGGCTTTTAAAAAATAGTTCTCATCTTCTGAGATCAGCTTCTCACAGATCCACTAACCTTATTTATGGGACTTCCCCGATGTGACTCCAGCATCTTCACTTGATAAATGAAGGGTTCTAATTCATCCCTGTCCCTTCTGTACTGACCCCCTGAGTCCATCTCCAAGCAGGACCCCACAAGACATGATTATCTCAGAAAGCTCATTTCTTTGCCTTCTCCAGCAGGGGGCACCCCTGGGGTTTGGATAGGGCTCTTTTCTGAAGTGCTGGATACTTCCAAGCCCTGTAGAAATGCTGGGAAAGGAGAGACCCTAAGTGGCCAGCATATCCAACAAGAACCTTTACAAGGTCACGGGCTTCTGACTGCAACAGTAGCTAACTGCACTTGCTCGTGGTAACCAGCCAGAAGTGGAAAAGTTTCCTCAGAAGTCTGTGACTAAGGATGCCCCAGTGCAACTGAAATCACACTCTCTTAGAGTGACACTTCACTCCTCTCTTCTGTTTGAATTCTCTCTCTCCCTCCTCCCTCTCCCTCTCCCTCTCCCTCTCCCTCTCCCTCTCCCTCTCCCTCTCCCTCTCTGTCTCCCT